GCTGTGTCGATTTGCACAGGCGACAACGAGATTGTGAGCGTGGGTCATGGTGATCAGGGGTTGCGGGACGGGTGTCTGGCCTACATGAAAGTTATTTTCAAGTTACTTCACAATTTATTTGAGGCATGCTCAACAAGAGGTATGAGCGTGTGTAGAAAAAACCTCGTATCTTTGAAGACTATAGGATCAGATTCTTCGACCTCGACCAAAAAAGTGACCTCATTCAGATGGTCGTACATGTGTCACAGTAGCAGTTTTTATCTAGGACTTCGTACACTAAAAAGGTTAAGAAAAACAAAACAAAAAAAAAGTGTGTCGACTCTGCCGAGAAACGCTTATTTTTTGATGGCGGTAAATCTTTATGATGAACCAAACAAGGGGAACCTTACGTTGGTAGGGACACTAAATTTTCAAAAGTGTTTGTGTGGTACAAACAATAGGATTGACGACACATTGCTAGTAGCGGACAAAAAAGGGATAAAGCATGAGTGAACAACTCTCAACTTAAGCATTGAGAACAAACGAGGTGTTCGCCATGGTGTGTTGGATGGCGTGAGTGAAATTTTCTCCGTTGTGAGTCTTGTGACAGTAAAATTCTGCAATACTCGCTTATTTTATGTATCACGCGCAAAGAGTTGGGCGATCGACCTTGCAAGAAGTTTTGGGATGAGTGCCTGGTGCCATCAACATTAACAATATACTTGCTTGTTTTTGTTTGTTGTGATACTCTGGGTTGACGGTGAAGGTATTTAGTTATATGACTTGTGTGCGACGAACAAATGTGATAAAATTTTCATGATCGACTTTTCTGTATGAGAGTTGACTTGCTTGGGTTTTACTCTCCTGACGTACATCCGCACTCTTCGTTGTTGAATGATTGTGCAAGTCAAGGTTATTGCTCCAAAAGGAGGCGTGGTGTCTTCACATGATCGTGGTAAGCACGTTTGACTAATGCTTGCGGGAGGAACTAGGCTCCCTGTTCTCAAGAAGTTTTCAATAGTTTTCTTAAATGCTAACCCCATTTATTTGCACACAAATGATTGAAGCCTTGAGAACATATATGCAAATTTCCCTAAGCTTCGCCCTTTTTTTCCGCTTTCCTTTTTCAGTTATCAAATTTGGTGTTTTGTTATTCCTAGTTGTTACAAAACACGAAGGGTCCAATGGACAAAGTTGTTCTATTTGAGACTTTCGCAAAGGGCATGTTAATCTTCTCCGTATCGTTCCAATTTTAACGGATGTCCCGAGGGACTGCCATGTGGGCATGGCCCTGGGACACTCTCACGAAACTAGTCCGCCCTAGGTAATTTAGAATTGTTGTATTTCACTCGTCCGAGTTCTATATTATTAATAATAATTAAAAAAAAAATCATAAAAGGGGGTCGGGGAAAAACCTCTAGCACCCCTTCTGTCCCACCGATGGGGCCTGTGATCGGGACCGGCAGTAAAAGCAAGGGGTATAGCCTCGCCGGGCCCTCAACCCCTTGGCTCTTTCAACTGCATCGCCGCCCGTTGACCTCGATCCCTAGATTGGCAAGGTGAAAGTCCGATGCCATAACCAACAGTGCTAGGCCTAAGGCTGAACGTAAAAGGTGCTAAACTGCATATAAACAGTCCCGCCGTGTGCACGGACCTACCGTAAACCTCCAAGGCATTTTCTTTGCCTACCGGTCGAACCCATGGCCGCCAAACCTCGGCACTCGCCGCACGGAGGACCTGGCTTCGCTCATAACCGCCGTATGCACCACTTCTTACTTCAAAGCCGGGCCTCTTCCTTCCTAGCGGCGAAAAGCTCAAACGTCATTTATGCCAACCTCCGTTTGCGCCTGCCTTCACCGAGACCGTCGTTCTTGTCAGCGGGAAAAAAACACAAACTGCCCTACTATGCCATGTGCTACACGGGCTCCAAAGTCTCTCCCCAAATAAAAACAGTAGTGAACACTCCAAAAAAATTAACGATGTCGGTAGTCAGACCTGACATTGGTCACAGCAATGCAACCCTCCGCGTGCATATATACACATCATTGGGTCTCGCTCCACGGCACACGAAATGAAAATGAAACGAGTGCATCTGCTCACCAAAGTTGGCAAAATACACTCGTTACTATTTATAGCAAACTGATGAACCTGACCATTAAGATACATTCGTTTCGTTTTTCGTTTTGTGTGTCGTGCGGCAACACCCATTGCCAAACATGCAAAAAAAAAGGAAAAACCGCATAGTCGGAAGTTAGTCAGTGCTAAATTAAACGAAAATAAAAGTTGACCGGCAACTGAGACGGCTTTATGACATCAAATAAGAGAAAAGCACGCGCACCTCAAAACTGCACGCCCACACACACCATACTTTATGTCTGTAATGACCCGCCAAAGCACAGACTGAGAACACTGCTGATTTCTGGGATTTGCCACTGGAATGAATGCCTTGTCGTGATTCCCGCATTCTGCTGTGTTTTCCAAGTCTGTGTGTGTGTGCATGCCTGCCCGTTTGCTTGCCTGTCTGAGTGCTTGACGGTTGAGTGTGTGTGTGACCCGTAAGGGTACCTGTTGGTTGCAAGGCCCCGCAGGGCCGGTACTTACCTGTGGCCGTGACTTTGAAGGGTTGCAGGGGGGGTTAACA